TTACCGCTTGCTGCCAAAACTCTGGGAAGCCTTTTAAAGTCTAAAAGAAGCAAAAGAGAGTGGCAAAGTGTCTTGAATAGTGAAATATGGAAATTAGAATTGGCACAAAAGCATATTTTTGCTCCTTTGTTGCTGAGTTATTAAGATTTGCCCCCTCCAGTAAAGCAGTGCTTCGTGTGTTGTGTTCTTTTTCCCAAAGATCACCTCATTTATCCTCACTTACTAATTCCGCAATGGATGGCGATGGGTTATTTAGGGTCGGATGGTAATACAGATTTGGAGTCAAAAGGGGAAGAGCACTTCCGCATCTTAGAAGACCGCTCTTTCTTTCAAGATTTTAGAAAGTTTGGAGAGCTTCTTTGTTGTAAAATGCATGACATAGTACATGATTTTGCTCGGTATTTGACGGAGAATGAGTTTGTGATAAAAGAGATCAACTCAGACCATTTGACTATAGATGGGTCAAAGAATCGTCACTTGAGAGTGATGATTGATGCAAGGATCTCTTTTCCTACATCTATTTCTGGTGCAGAAAAATTGCAAATCCTTTATAACTTTCACTAGAGAGGGTGCACTGACTTATGAGGCCTTGGGCAGCTTGTTTAATCATTGCAGACGCTTAAGGGTATTGAGTTTTGCTTGGCCTGATGGAACTGATCATTTATGCAAAGAAATTCCTGAAGGAATAGGGAAATTGATACACTTGAGATTCTTGCACTTGGCTTCTAGTCAAAAATTAGAAAGGCTGCCTGAAGCACTCTGCAACCTACTTAATTTGGAGTCTTTGGATTTGTGGAACTGTGGAAATCTCAAGCAGTTGCCAGATTCAATAGGAAAATTAATCAACTTGAGGTTTCTTTATACTGCTGGTTGCTCTGCTCTCACTCAATATCCAAAAGGCGTACAAAAATTGACTTCTCTTAGTCATTTAAGTGGGCTCATTGCCAGAGCTGATTGTGATGATGCTAAAGAATTTTGCCTTGCCGATCTTGGAAACTTGAAGCACCTCCGTATACTGGCTTTGAAAGTGGTGGGGAATTCAATCGATATGGAGGAGGCTAGAAAAGCTCAACTTCAGGACACCCAGAGTTTGTATATATTTTTAGCTGGCAGTATTCAGAGAGCAGACATAATTGAAGCCTTAGACCCACATCGAAACATACCATATTTAAGGTTCTACGGCGACTACTGGTTTGAATTGCCCCTAGGGTCCCCATGAATACAAAAGGTAATCCATTTATCCCATATAAATGCTCTTTTTCAGTTTTCCCAATGAGAAATCATCCTATGTATGTGCTCTTCAAATTGAAATTTTTCTTCGAACATTGCTGATTTCTAATTAAGCTTCCTCATACTAACCAAATATGGACTTTGCTTTGCAATTGACTGCTTCTCTGTGGGATGCAGCTTACTTTCCCAAGGTAATGTTTTATACCATATAGAGCAGTAATGCTTTCATTTTTCTAGTTTAAAAAGTATTGTGTTGTTTAAAATATATAATTTAAACTATTAGATAAAGAATAAACCTTTTAATATTAAAGATTTTTTTTATCTAATAATTTTTATTTTATAATTTTATACAATTCAAATTATAAAGGATTTTTTTGTAATTATTGCTGTAAAAACAAATATACTTACGGAAGGACCACATGTATATTTCGTAGGAATTGGACGTGCTTGTGGCAAGGAGAGATTTCGAATGTTGAGTGATGGGCTTTCTTCTATTGTTGGTGAATAAGGAAGCTGTTTCCAATCTACGAATGTTGTTTTAATTTCCAGTTATTGTTGATTAATCTTTCTTAATCAGCAGCAGCATTCTCTCTTTCTATCAAAAACCATACACATATATTCCGAGTTCAAAATCTAACCAAGGTGTACATATTTCAGAACTGATAAAAGATGTATTTGAAGATGAGAAATGAAAATTAGTAACACACCACGCCGGAGCTCTTCATCAAATCTTATCAAATATTGATCAAGCTGTTGTATATGTGCATCTACCTCAATCATGACTACATCACAAACAGTCAAAGTATTGAATGATAACCATGCAAAGGAGATTGATCCCAATCCACAATTCCGCATAATGTAGACCTGGGTCCAAAATTAAGATCTTTAAATTTTGCTATTAAATTGAAATAGCTCACAGCATTTTTGGTGGCACCAGGCACAAAAGCAAGTAGGACAAGGAAAACATTGATGACGAAGAAAAATTCTCCAAAGATGGGATTTATGAAATGTCACTCAGCAATGAAATCTTAAAATACTTTGTGCTAAAAGTTTTACAATAGGGGAAAGGAAAACCAAAACAACAGATAAATGCTATCACAGACACTATCATTCATCCTTACTATGGAAGAAAAAGGACTGACTAAATTTCCAGGGAAAATCCACAATGAAATAAATATAATTAACTGTGACTTATTGGTCTGTTTATTCTTTTCATGAGGTAAGACTAACACCCAACCCATCAATGAAATAAATATAATTAACAGTGACATATTGATTACCAGTCCAATTATGAAATATTGAAACATAAATAGCCATACAATAATACCATACAGACAGAACATCGTAATTCCCACAACTTTTGACCTTAAAATATAATGTGCCTCTGCAAAGGCTAGACAAAATCCTGCTCACATCTTATATGGCAAATGCTAAAAGAATAGGATAGTGTCAAGTAAAGCACTGTCCAGGAAAAAAGGGATGACAATTGCAAACTAAAGATTTGGCAAAAACAAAACAAAAAACAATAAAAGCCAAATATCATACGACAACAAGCATTGTAAATCACATTTACTGAGAATAACATCAAAGATAAAAGTCCATAAGTTAAATATTGAAGTCACAAGGAGAATCAACAGACCA